TCCCTTCCTTCCCCTCCCTTCCTTCCCCTCCCTTCCTTCCCCTCCCTCTTCCTTCCCTTCCCTCTTCCCTTCCCAACCCCGTCCACCTCCACCTCCATCTTCCGTCCCCGACAACGTAAGCTTTTCCTCGCTCTCCCCCGGCACTAGTGACTAAACGAGAACCCAAGCATCGGAGATGCTTTTGGGAAAAACTTTCATTGGAAAGAGCCTGTTGTCTAAATAAAAAAAGTCAAATCAGTCAAAAAAGTCAACCCCAAAAGTCAAAGTCAAAAGAAGTTAAATCAGAAAATTTCAGAAAGTCAAACAAAAGTCAATTTGCCCAGATCGGACCTTTTTTTGACGTTTTTTTCGACTTGCTTTTATACGTGTTTTTTCCGATTGTTGTTTTGACTATTTGTTTGACATTTTTTAGACTTTTTCGAGTGGTTGACTTTTTTGACTTTTTTTTGACTTGTTCGAGTTGTTTTTTGATTTTTTTTTGGGGGGGGGGTGTTTTTTTTGACAGTTGTTCGACTTGTTGTTTTTGTCTGTTTTTGATGTTTTTTTTTGATTTTTTGACATGTTTGTTTTTTTTACTTTTTTGACTTTTTGTTTGACTTTTTCGAGCTGTGGTCTATGGTTGACTTTTGTTTATACTTTGTTTTTGACTTTTTTTGACTTTTCAATTTGATTTCTTTTTGACTTTGACTTTTCCAGTTGACTTTTTGTTTGACTGTTTGTTTGACCTTCTTTTTAATCAAGGATTCTGGCCTTACCATATGAAAGCTTTTTATAAACCTATAGGTAGTGTGGGGTAGTCCAGCCAGGACACCCCTTGGATGGGTTCAGGTATGTATCCACATTGGGGTGGTTTATGATGTATTTCCATACATGAAGTGCTCATGCCAGTGTACTACTGGCTCCCTTTCCTTCACGATCAGTCAACACACCTCCAAAGAGAATCGGTGTCGTTCGGCCACCGTTTCTCCGTCATTGGACGCTTTTGGTTTTGTCAATGCATTCTGAAACTGTTATTGTTGGGGCAAATCCTTCTTTTTGTTCGGCTCCATATGGCTCCCCCAAAAGTGAAGACCCCGAGACGCAGCTGATAGAAATGATATGCGATGATATGAGATACTCTTTGTATTTTGTTTACGAACATGCATTCTCATGGCCATTTTCTGAGCCCCAAACCAACGATCCCCCTTTTTGGCTCGTCCCCAAGCAAACGGACCGTGTGAGACACGTCCTTTTTCCCAGGCTCTCCGGCAACATGCAGGTGCTCGAGGCAGGGAGCGAGCAAGCGTCTGAGGGTCCGACACAAAGCTGTCCAGCAGAGATCCAGCTGTCCAGCAGAATTTGTTGTAGTGTCAGTTTCGTGTTCCTGAGCTCGCTTGATTTGAGTCATCCCTGGCATGTCAATTTATTTTACTGGTTTGATTCTTGATTTCTGAATTCACAAGGCCTGCGTTGTGAGACTCGGATGGCCAGAAAGCAATGGAAAAACATGGAAAAACATGGATTTCTTGAAGAAAGAATTTGAGACATTTCAGGTCACTGAGTCTTCTGAACTCTAGCTCAAAGCCTTCCAGATGCTCATCAGGATGCCTTAGCAAGCTTCGTGCAACAGACACGCGTGCAATTGGCAGATCTGACAGAGCAGCAACAGGCAGGAATAGGGTACTGCTGTACTGCTTTGGACAAGAATGACATCCCCAACCTTCATGATATATGTAATATTTTTGTGTGTATATATTTGTTTTAGTGTTTTAGGCGATACCATGCGATACCGTATGTCTGGGCAAATCACTATCCATGTCCATCATCGGTGGGAGGTCCCCTTGTTAAACACCCACAAAACGTCCGGTGATAATTATTACATTATCAATTGTGATCATCGGACGTTGGGAGAATGTCAGAGGAGATTCTTCACAGCACTGTAACACTGTACCTGGATTTATATTCAGGCAAACAGTACATTGTCGTTCAGTTCAGGCAAACAACAGGTGCAGGCCACCAAAAGCTAAAGTTCAAATGTGAAAGTGTTGCTTGCTTTCTTCGGTTCCGCGAACTGGTTGTGATCTTCAGACCTGACAAGCGAATATGTTTGGATTCCAAATTCGTGATCCATCTGAGACTCTTTCATCGTCCACGGACGTTCACCAGAGCGGAGGTTTCGCCGTGCCCCCGCGCGGGCGGCAGCGCACGCAGCGCACGGCTGGGAGGTCAGCAAAGACGTCTCCTTGAAGCTTGCGGCGGAGCACAGCTGCCTCGCTTTTTGATTTTGGATGACCCGAATGACCGGAGCAGGGCATAGCAGGGCATTGGAGACTACCGTGGACATGGTCGAAAGAATAGTATAACATAGAATAAAATATATACATTTAGTTATATACATAGTTCAGGCATTAGCAACAATGCATGTATAATATCATTGATGGAGAGTCGATGCTCGACAGATTTCAGGTTCTTGTTTTGACGGTTCTTCCCTACAGAAGTCCCAAGAACGAAGGACAATTGTAATTTATGTGTGCTTTCGTTTGATCCTGGGGACTTCACGTTCCAGCTGGCAGCTTTCTCCCGGGACTTCATCAGGATATAGGCTGCTTAAAATGGCTTAAATCAGCTAATTCACCCAGAACTTCCAATGACTCATTTGGAGTCATAATGCACCATGACCGAAGTAAAATGCGTCATGGACTTTGTGGGTATACTTCCTTGTCTTGAGTGTTGGTTCACCCAACCAGATCTGCCAGGTGCAGCAAGATGGAGGCCAGACCCCGATTGTGATGCAGCAGACGCGGACTTTGACTCAGATGTTGTTACCCAGACCATCCATGGGACTGGAATACATCATTTACATTTATTTACCAATATTGATTCATTATGTATGATCCATCCGTGTAAGTCATTATTTCATACATGGATGGTTTGGGTAAGGTCCAGGCAAAATTGCTAACGTTGTCAATGTCAAGGGATTACCACTTGGACTGGCGTTTTTCACATCAGTTGATGGCGATGGAAGAGTAGCTCAGTCAGCGGGTAGCGTGGGTAGCATCAAGCGATGCCCTCGAGTCTGGTTTAAACTTGCTGGGTCCACATGGACTTGATTGTTTTCTGCAAATGTTTGCAACACGTTTGGAGGCCAAATACAAACAGACCACGTTTGGATCATTTCTATTGGTTGTGTGTATGGCTCCGACATGTTAGGCTCAGATCACCTCGTTGCAGGAGGACGTTCTGCTCCGAAGCCTTCGGTTTCAGCGTCGTATCACCATCGCTCAGGGGGTCAATCGATTGCCAGAAGATTGGGGGCTATATCATGCTAGATCGTGTCTGTGTGGCTTTGACACAGACAGGCATGAAGAATAAAAGTGTGAAGGTTTGCGGCGAGGGACCCTGGCAGCCAAAAGATTCGAGGTCAATTTAGTACGCCTAAACATCTAAGTGCACTGAGCAGCGACAAGGTCAGCTTTTGGCTCCAAAAGAGGAGGGGTCACTGGGTCACTCAGGGTCTACAGTAGCTGGTACGTGGAGCTTTACAAAGCTCCCTGAATTGATTCTTGGCATCTGGGGATGAACATGATGGAACATTAACCTAGGACGTTTGCAATGTCCTTGTAGTTGTACTTGACTTTCAGCAACCAGAGCGACCCCAAGTTGCCGACTCTCCGCGACCCCGGAGGATGTTGGAGCTCAAACTCTGCGAATTGACGCAGCTGAAGCCGGCAGTCTTGAACAGGCGGACCAAACGCCCCCGTGGGGATCAACCTCGAGTTACAGGGAGGTTTGAAGTCTGTGAGGAGGCTACTCACTTCATGCTTGGCTGCGGCTCTTAATGTTCAATCCCAAATAGTCAAGGGAGACGGAAAACAACACAACGCTTTCCTGAAATGATTCCCAGCCCAGCCCCGAAAAGTTAGTAGCAAACAACATCACCCAGAGCTGTGTTTTTAAGTCCGGTGTGTTGAATGATTTACTGTATATCTAGTTTCAATTTGTCCACCACCACCACCACCACCACCACAACCACCACCACCACCTTCTTTGAGGTTGTGTGAGGTTTGCTTGCAGAAATGAATCCAACATTATATATGCTTGTGGGAAGTTAGTTCTTTGTGCAACTGCGTGTGATGGGATGCTTGGATAAGAGAGGCTAGTAATCAGGCTCTCCAACCCATAAATTGAGCATTCCCCAACATGTCCCCACAGCTACCACCACCACGGCTGGCGGCTGGCGTGAGGGGGCGTGGGCCTGCAGGTCCGGCAACTGCAAGCCTTGGAGTTCAAGTTCACTAAGTTGCAGGACCTTAACGCACAGACACAGTGAAAGGCTATCTCAGGCAGCTTCAGGTGCAGTCCATGTTTCTGTCGGCAAAGGGACCCCCACAACTTGGTGTCAAGACTTGCACAACGTCACGTCACATAGGCGTGTCTCACGACGGAATGAGTCCTGTTCCATTCTTGATTTGGTTGATGTTCCCTGCTTTCCAGCTTTGGCGACAGGCGGTGTTTTTCGATGAACCCCTGGGCTGCTTGGGTACTGAACAACGACACCGCATGCACAGACTTGGTGGGGTTTGGGGTCACGGGTCCAACACGAAGCGTTCGAACGATGTTCGAGCCTTGTCATTCGGAGCAGGGAAGCCTATTGGGCCAGCTGGCGGTGCTCAGCTGCTTTGAAAAGTGTTTTCAACACTAAACCATGGAATTACAGTAGAATAGAGTAGAACACTGGAAGAGCTGTTCCCCCATGCGAATAGATGCGACGGCCCGCCCAGGACACCTTTGCCCGCTTTGATGGAAGAGCTGCTGCAGCAGAGGATGTTCCCATTGCTCGGGAAGTGGGGGATTTGAAATTGCCATCCATGACATATCATGATATACAATTACCTGTTATTAGCACAAGTTGTGGATAAGATTGGACATGGAACATGGAATATTTGTTCAAGGCAAACTTTCAAGAAGGGACATCAAAGGGGCCAGTCATCCCATGTTTGTGGCAATGTCTCAATCCTCCCCTGTATTGGCTGGGTGCTGCCCGTTTTGCGGCATCGCTCCGATGTTCACAGAGGAAGCTGCAAAGCAACGGGCTGCTCAAGTGCTGGAGCAGATTCGGGAGGACTGGGAAACAACTGGGACCGGGACATGTCAAAAGGGTGAACGAGGCCAAAGAACTAAGTGAATGAACATACATCACAATGTCAATGATATGAACAAGTAAAGACGATCAAGAGCATGAACAGATGATTAAACACAAACCAGTGGGGCGAGGCGGCTCAGCACAGTGCTTTCTCCCGACTCGTGTCGGCGGCTGTCCGATGAAATCGGCGACAAAAAACACAAACAATATCAACCAATTAATGCTTTCTTTCATGTTCTTTTGATGTTGCTTGAACAAACAGTTGCTTTCTTTGCAAACAATGTTCTCTTTCTTTCGTTTTGGTCTAGGCCAAAGACCAGAGCGCTGCCGCACTGCTTCGAGCACGCTCCGAGCTCATGGACTCCATCGCCGAGGCGGGGACACCTGCAGCACCCGGGGGAGGTGGGGTTGGGAGCCCAGCTCTTAGGGAGTGGAGTCGGTACGACGGAACAAGGACAGGTGTCTAAGCCCATGCAGTCGTCAAAACGGCCGCAAACTTGGGGAGTAGAGGTGCGTTTCGTAGCTTAGGGAGAGTGGAGGTTCGGTACGAAAACGGATCCCTAGGGTTTTGGGGAACAAAGAAGCTCCAGGGGGATGTGGTGGGTGGTGACTAATAGTGCGAGATGTGCGAGGGTGTGTTTGTTTGGAGCATATTTGGAGACATATAATTAGAAATTAATTAGACTAAGACATGAAATATGACCTGAGACGTGGCGGTTCTCGGACACAAGACCAGCCTATGACCAGCCATCAGAAGCCATCAGCCTCCAAACCTGCTCAGAAAACCAGGCAAGCAGCGCCATGAAGAATGAAAGCAAGGAGGCGGGCAGGCTGCGGCCTTTGGTGGGGATCCCGGAGCGAGCTGGCGCGTTTCAAGGACTTCCCGTCGAACGAGTGGACATCTCTCAGCTTTTGTTGGAGGAAATCAATCGGTTCTCCATGGGGCCGGTGGCCAGTGTCCACTTCCAGTTGCAAAGTTGGATAGAGGCTGAACATGATCGAACATGTTCGTTTGGCATCAGAGTTCAGTTCGCTCCGAGTCCAACGACCTGACACCTCAGACCTGGCACGACGATGGGAAGGACGAGTGCACGATGTTCGTCACCCACCCACCTGGGACCATCCCCACTTTTCCCATCCTTTTCCACCCTTCAAAGGCGGATGGATCCACTGCCACAGTGCATCCCGAAAGTCATGGATACTTATCCATGACTTGATTCAATGACGAATCGGACCGTGCGCCCTATGACCCTCACACGGTTTGTGCAGTGTGGAGCGATCACATCCATGGATGAACTTTAAAAATAAGATAGTGTGAAAAGCATGTATATAGATGGGAAGAGGCAGACTTGCCCCAGCCCAAGGACGTCCAAAGAGGATAGCGCGTGTTCAGCTTCCTTCCACCCAGCCAGACAACAGGGGAAACATATCCTTTTGTCCTTCGGATTTCGGGCCTGAACCTAAGACCTTTGCGTTTCGGTGGAGAAGGTCCAAGGATTCTGAGGCGAGGGTAGTTCACAAGACCATCAATGGGACTGGAATAGTTACATACATTTACCCCATTTTCACTTGACCCCAATGTAGGTAACTATTCCAATGGATGGTCTGAGTTCACAAGACACGTCATCGCTTCGCCGATTTGGCACCTTACCGGGGCGTTCCAGGCCCTTCGTGCAGCTGAAAGCACTATGGCATCCGATCTGCAGGCCGATCGACCGGGCTGAAAGGGAAGAGCTGAAGAAAAGCAAAAGCATGCGAAAGGCTAAATGCTCCAATTCAAGATGGATTCAAAGGATCTGGATGGGTTATGGGGCCCCAATGTTTGGCCTTCGGAGTTCAGTTCTTTGTGTTTTTATGATCGAACAACCCGGATCATCACGGATATCCCCTGCAAAGACCCACCCAAAGACGGCCTTTCCCGCCCACGAAAAGTCTCTCCCGCCTCAAGACACACAAAGAAAAGCGCCACCTGGAAACGCACCTGGCTCGTGGCTTTGTCTCTATTTGCGCTGAACATGGTGTGTTCCAGGCTCTGAGAGAGGAGCACCGAAAGAGCTTCACCAGCAACGTGGAACGACAACAACTCCTGGTCGACGAGCTCCGTGCAGAGTCCCAGTCCCACTCGGTCGCGACGGATGGGAGGGAGTCCAGTCCCCAGCACGGATGGGTGTTTCTGGTTTTTCACCTGAGGTGGACCTCCAGGGTGGAACCAGTGGTTTCCCTTGAAAAATCTGAAGATTCGCGCAAGCATCATCTTACATCTATTTGTAGATGTTGCCTTGAATAACGACGATGTAGATGTCGCAAACTCGTAGGCAAAACTCATGCTTTTGGGGTCTCGAGTTTGTGCTGCCCTGGCCTCTCAGGTTCTCAACCTTGCAGGTTCTCAACCTTGCTTTCATGCTACCTTGGATTCTTTTGTAGCTCTGTGGTTGAGTCCATTTTTGTGCCAATGGGTGCAAGGTGTGGTTTCTCATGTAAAGCATTGCACCTCTCCTGCTTCGGTGATGAAAGGTTTCTCACCACTTTCAGTCACAGCAGTGTACCTATTGTGGTCTTTGGCGGATCTTGTGTTCCTTTTTTTCACCCGCCCGCCTCCCTAAACTTGGAAGTTTCAGTTTGGTCTCTCATTTTTGTGTTTGTTTGTGGGCCGGGGATGGATTTGTTGACCCCCAGCCCTGACAGGGAAACCTTGTCATGTATCAGCCATTGGCTGGAAAAAGTGCAATGGCACTTCTGGGATGGAGAGCTAGAGGTTTCGAGATTTTCGACATGTTTCAAGCTGTGGGCCCCAAAGGTTCTCTTGTGGAGGACGCCGTGTTTGAGTTGTCTTTTTCTCAGGGCACTCACCTTGCGTCGTGCCTAATAAAAATGCTAAAATTTTTAGCCAGTATCATATATTGTAAATTAACACCATTATATATATATATATGTTTAGTATATACTGTCAGCAAATGACATGGGTACTTTCCAGAATCACTGTGAGCAGATGACATGGGTCTGGAATATGGGTGAAAGTCATCAAAAACAAAGGACATAGGTTGGCGGGATGGTTCACACTTACAGTAATCTACATTAACTTTGTCATTGGTCTCATACAAGCAAGAAACGCTTCCATGGTAGACACCCTTTTTCTACCAACTTTCCCACTAGCATCTTCCTGACTCCATTGTCACGCGCTAATGCGAAGTTACGTGCATACCGCAAAGCACACAGTGTGGCATGCTCTGTCCACAAAACACATGACATGGGCAATTCTCATGTTTACCAAGGTTCACAGTGTGGCGTGTTCTGTCCCAAATGACATGGGTTTGATTCTGCTCGGTAGGATCGGATAGCTTTTAGGGTCGTCATGTCACTTGCCTAGAGTATATATGTTTATATTATTATGGCGGTCATACCCTCCAACAGGTCACCACCTGCGCCTTTGGAAGTTTGCAAAAGCCTACCCTGTGTCCCCTAAACACACCTTCTCCGAGAAGACGTCCGGTTCGGTACTTCCAGTGGAGCCTCCCCAAGCGTCTCCCCCTGCGCCTGCGCCCTCCGAACAAGAGGCTCTATATCAACGTGGAAACCCCCCACTAAACGCAACAACCGCCACCTGTTCTGCGTTGCGCCCACCGGGACCCCCCCAAAAAACGGACCGAAGCATCGGGCTCACCGAGCCCCTGGCGCGTCGTTCGGAGTTCGTTTCGGGGTTCCTCTCCGAGGCGTGGAGATCACCGAGGCGGTGGAGCAGTCCCGGAGCAACGGCCGAGACCTGCTGGCCTTGATCGAGGAGGGACGGGGACTGGGGGGGGGCGGGGTTGGCTGATGCGGCGAGATGACTGTGGGGGTGGAGAAAAGACGCTGCAGGACTTGGCACCAAAAGATTAGAATGTTTGGCGCTGGGCTTTTGTTGGGAAACTGGGGTGGAGATCTGAGAGCTACGTGTGTATGGGGTAGGTTGCACACTTGTATGGTCCCTCGCCAAGAATCCTGATGTTATAAATAGATATTCATAGTGTCGGGATGAATAATATGTGGAGGAGTGCCAGATGAGGACCATCAGACGTACAGAGTGTACCTTGCTTCAGTTACTGGAGTTTGTCATGCATGTCACATCATGCTGCCAGTACCTGTGAGCAAGTGCTCCTGATGTGGTTTTGGTATCGCAATCATGACTGGAAGCTGCAGATTGCACCTTCCAACATGTTTCCAGTCGAGAGGGTTCAACGATTGGCTTCTGTCAAACAGTTGGCTTCAAGACTGTGCTTGGCACCGTCTGGTGAGGCTGATCGAGTTCCAAAGACTATTGGGGTTGGCTTTGCAATTTGTTGGCATGTGGTTTAAGCGCAGACGCTCTGATGTTCAATGCATCCGAGGTTTGATGAGATATGATGAGGATATAGAGGGACTGTAATATGCAGAATGTGAATATATACACACATATATATATATATATATTATATAATTATACTATATATATAATTTGTATAATCAAAGTACTCGTATGGTATGGATTGCAACATGTGCTGCGCTTGGTGCCGTTTTGACCAAACATAATGTAAACCTGATTCAGATCCCGCAGCGAAACTCGCAAGGACAATGATGCACAATGAATCACATTTGATGGGATTGAGACATGACGGGACAACTCGTAGTTAGAGCATCCAAGAACACGGATGGTTTGGGTCAAAAAGAAGACACCTTTGACCTCACACCCATACGTTGAGAGTTCCCTGCTATCGTCTTCGAGTCTCTCCGTCGCCGTCGAGTTCCCTGCCATGTTTCGAACATGGTTATGGTATCTTTCAGCTCCACGGTCGTTGCTTCGACACAGGAGCTGCAGGGTCAGTTCCTGGAGTTGCGAACGGAGAGCCGTCGTTCTTGGGAGGCGCGAGTCGGATTTGAGCAACATACCAGGAGCATCCTGTCTAGGGGAGACCCATGGACCCCCCCCAACAGACCTGGTCTGTGGGCGTTACTACTTAAGGACACCCAGAACGGATGCTCCAGGGAATAGTGAGATGTTTGGGACATTCACTTTCTCAAAGAGCCGTGTGGGGATGGGTCAAAACCTGGAGCCCTGGTCCGCGCCAAGGCGACCTCAACTGTCAAAGCCTCCCCCCAGCAAAGCATCGGGTTCGGAGGACATCCTGAAAATAAAGGATTCTAGCTGTTCATTTTCAGGGGTCAACTGGGTTTTGACTCATAGCAACGTACATGAATGTCTTCCAGCCGCCCAGCCCAATTGTTTTTGGATCACATGTCTCTGGGAGGAGATGGCGGCCCGGGTTCGTGCAGAGAATCAGGCCAATGTCCGAAAACGGCCAGGCCAATCATTGGTCAGATTGCTTTGGAAACTAGAAATCGGACATCGAACCAAATCCAGCGGCTAATTGGTCCTCAAAAGCATGCCAAAACTATTGCTGCTTCAAACAGGGACAGAATGGCATGTCTTCTACTACTGATATAGCTTGTTGGGTGGCGGAGGTATGCAATTATGTAGATCAATTGGATTAGATTGTCCAAATATATGCCTCCTCAAAGAAAACATAACAAATCCAGTGCAGAGATTTCACCAAAGAGATCTTGCTGTCCGAACCTCCAAAAGAATCCAGCGCAGCAAGGCCAATGTGGAGGACTTCAAAGCGCAGCTTCGGACTCTGCGGCTGGAATTGGGGGAGGCGGATTAGATCCAGTTTTGAACGGATCCTGCTTTGGATTCTTTGGATGATTTCGGATGATGGTTTGTGTATGGCCTTGGACCAAGGGAAGACGATGGAAGACGGCAATCGCATGCATTGCTTTTCCTCGAACCGATTGGGCAGAATTAGACTAATCATGTTAAGTCATGTTAAGTCTATGTTGTCCCAACCGATTCGGACTCCTCCACGCGCTTGTCAGGCGCGGAAAGCCAGCAAGGTCTCCGCAGAAGAGCTGCGGAGCTTGTTGGATGAGAGCTCTGCCAGTTGGTCCGGAACCCAAGACGAGCGGCGTCGAGCTCCGTCGAGACGAGCCATTTTGCGCCGCGAGGAGGCGCGAGAATCGGGCATCGCCGGCATCGCCTAGTACATTGTCATCTCACTAAGTTCAAAGATCAGTACTGGACCAGTGTGACCTAAATCCTTTGTGATGTGTCCCACTTTTAGTCTTTATATATATAAAGTATATTTAATGAGAAAACAATCTAGGCAAGGTCATCTCATTCATCATATATCTACCTTCATCCTACTTCCCCCCAAGCTCTTCCCACCAGTCAGGTGGCCCACCCCGCAGTGCCCCCGAATCCCCTGCGGTGCCCGCCCCAGGCGGCGGTCGTTGGTGGACGCCTCTGCTCTGACGGCGAAGGCTCAGACCGCCGCCGGGGGGCCCATGGGACCGGTGAATGGACCTGTTCAAGTCGAAGAGAATAAAGATGATCATAAGATCTAAACATGCCTAATTATATATACTAGTAATATGAATAATATCATATATGGTCATATGTGGATGTGAAACACAGCCAGGGCTGAGCCCAAGCACAGCCAGGGAGTCGCACCCCCTTCAATGTAAGATCAAGACATCGCCCCGCCCGACCGAACAACAAAACTAAATGCCTCATCAAAAGACCTGTGGCACGATGGTATGATGGTTCTGTGTTTGATGGTTCTGTGCTTGGGTGAAAAAAATACAGCACTTCCGATCAACATGGCATCAGTATATACTGTAATATGAATATGAATAATATATACTGTAATTATGAATAATATCATATATGGTCATCTGTGGATATGGCATCAGTATATACTGTAATATGAATATGAATAATATATATATATACTGTAATTATGAAGAATATCATATATGGTCATATGGATAATTATGGCATCATGATAGTCATCATGATATGGCCACAAAATGCCACGAATAGTACATCAGGCTGTTTGTGGGAAGCAAAGTGCATTCTCAGAGCTTTGTGGTGGAAGCACCAACAATGACCAAAAGAACTCTCCGTTACACCATAGCGCTGTCCATCATGTCGCATCCCAACACATTGGGATAGTTTCTGCACATGCTAGGCCACCCTTTGTCAATGATTCAGCGGACGTGCCTTAGCAACAGGCTGACGAGGCCAATGCCGAGTGCGCTCGCTTGCACTCCTTGGTGGAGGCCGCTGAGTGATGCACGACACTTCTGGTCACCACATGGACCTTTCGTATATATATATATATATATCCAAGAGCTGCATGAAACAAGGGCAACTCTTTTCCTCTCAGACATGATATTGATATTTCTTCTCCAACATAAGTTGAGAGACGACCAAAAGATATTTCTTCTCCAACTGTATTTATTTTTCTGCAAGTTGCCGCACCGAACGATATTTTGGCTCAGCGACCCAAAAGTCCGTTTGTGCCCGCTTCGAGATTGCAGCTTTTCGAACGATTGCTGCGATGGACGGACTGCAGGCGCCCAAACGAGCAAGAGTCTGAGTCTAGACCCTTTTGGTAAGGTAGACTTTTGATACCTTTTGATGAATAAAGCCTCCTCACTTCTTTGATCTTTTTTGAACTGTCAGACCTCTTCATAATTATATATATGTGTTGTTTTGTTGTTTAAAGCAAGAGTCTAGAGTCTACTTATATCATCTATAATCTGCTTCCCATTTTGATGTAACGGTGATCCGAGTGGACTGGAGAGTATCCAGGTTCGGTTAAGTAGAGAGTACCTACATGTACGTACAGTACCTGTGCCCTCCAGTTTTTTGTCAGCATTCAGACCATGTTAGAATAGATGATGATTGTACTTGCAGTGACACGTTCAGCTGGTTGAAACTCTTGGATAGAGACACGGAACCATTGTTCCCGAACATTTTCCCACGCCTTTGCCCTCCTTAAATCTTTTGTGCATAGATAGCTTTTCCTGAGACTTTACCCCAAATCACAAATAGTCAGTAATTTCATATTCAGCAAAAGCAACTAGTGGTTGAATCTATCAATCAAGCATCTATCAACATCCGTCTATATCGATTCTGTAGACCCACGGTTTGGACACATTTTACATCATTTTACTAAGTCGATGTGTTCTTTGGCGGAAATAGCCGTCTTCCTCCTTTTTCCCCAAGCGAGCCCTCATTTAGTGGGGCACCATTTTGAGCACACATCTCTCGTAGCACACATCTCTCGTGTTGCAAGATGGAGGATGGCCCCACTGCCTGAAATAAACATACTAGTAACAAGAAGCTTCTAGAAACAAGTGCCACGCTAGTAGTAACAGGTGCCTTACTAGTAGTGACAAAAATGCTATTAGAAACAAGATGGCATGGCCCCGAAAGGATGGACCGTTTTCGCTATGGAAAACCCCACTTTCATGAGTATTCCTTACCGAGTGTACTCGGACTGGAACAAGACGGTGCAGATTCCATTCGGTCGATTTCGACTGAAGGGCGCTGATACAGCTGATTTAACATTTCACTCCCCTGGCAAGCTGAGCCGAACGACGCATACTCGAAGCACTGTTCGATGTGGCGCTGGTACTGTAGGCGCTGAAGGTTTCCGAGGACAAGAAGAAGACACATGGCCATGAAGGAGATCGATGGCTGAAGGTTTTCCACACTCCGCCCATCCAACTCGGTCGATTTGGGACGTCCCATTGATCGATGCTTTGAAGTGTAGACGGTTGGATTTTCTCGTCGGTTGGATTCCAAAAGCCCCGACTTGGTGAGTGCTTCTGTTGAAATGGGATTCTGGGACGTGGCAGTAGAGACGTGAAACGTTTATTTTTTTGTATATATATATATTAAGTGTATAAACATTCTATCCCTAGGGCTCCAACCATATCCTCAAAAGGTGGTTAGATCCCCCAAACCCATCCCAACCACCTTCTGGGGATCAATATATCTCCCTCACTCTGGGCATGCTGGTTTCGATGTGTTGGGTTCTGTGTTTGTTTTTTATTTATTTTTGTCAGCATCTGACTTGGGACGCAGAGGCTTTGGGCAGTGGCTTAGGCACATCCTCTTTGGGATTCATGTCGACATTGGCTAAGTCGGCGGAGGGCGGCGTTCTGCGCGCGCGCGCGCGCCGCTCCGCGAGCATCACTTCAGCGCCGCTCGGCTGCTGAGGTACATCATGGAGATGCTGCACCCAGTGCTTGAAGAGATGGTGGCAGAAACCATCCACAAGATGCCTAAGGAGCGAAGTGCAGTTCTGTCGAGTGTCTTAGACTCACTCGTTCATCTTGCCATCGAGTTCCACGCCGGAAAATGCCGTCGAAAGTGGGGGCCTTGAGGGACTCTTGGAGAACTGACCAGGACCTAGAGGAAAATTATGGAGAATTCACTTCCAGGGGTCCACGTCCCCTTCCGTTTCGGAAAGTACGCTTGTTTCCTCCATTCGAGCGACTTTCGTCGACGACAGGATCCAGTGCCGTTCATGTTGGACTGGCCACTTGTACCAAACACGAAGAGGACAGCCAGGGTTTGGCCCATGGTTTTATTGCCGATGTTGATTAAAGTCACCACTCAGCACAGTACAGATCACTTAAACAAATATGTTGACCTTTGCCATATGGGTTTGTATTGGGGACCTCCAACCGATGGGTTTTGGTCTATGTCTATGTTTCCTTCATCCAGAGGGTCTCTTTGGGAGGTCTCCCTATCGTAGTACGCACCCGTACAGGGATGATGACAAGGTTCGGAGAAGCTGCTGAACTTGTGTGCTTTTGACAAAGTGCTGAGGCTGGAGAAGAAGAAGGCCACTGAAGAGGACATCAGAATCTCCAAGTAGATTCCAAGTATCACTTGCATCAACACTCTGATACAGTATGTTCTTCTGCTTTAAAATGATTCTGTTTTACCAATATTTGCCATATATGATGAAATTGCCTATAATTGCTTTTGAAGGTACATTTTATCCCCCACGTCATTGTACAATTCACGAGAGTTCTTTTCTGTTTCCCACACTGCGGATCTGGCGATGGCCTGCCTGGCCATTCCGAGCTGACACCAGGACAAGCAGCTGTCTCCCGAAGAGAAAGACCGTCTCACCAAGGAGAACGAAGATCTCTTAATCAAGGCCACCCGTCGCCAAGTCCGATCGACCGACCTGTGTGGGTCGACGGGTCCCGATGCGGCGCCGCCGCGCGACGCATCCCGTGCCCAACATCCACTGGACCCGTTTGAACGACGTGACGGCGAAAACGGTCACGGGCGCTGATGAACGCCAGGGTATGCCAGGGTCCTCAGGTCAGATGGGGATGCAAAGATCTTGACACCATGCCGGTCAGGTCAGATCCTTTGAAGTGGGAAATGGTGAGGAAATCCACCTGGAAGTGGGACACCCACCTGTTTGGTACTCGGAAAATGGTCATCCATATAATGGGAACAGGCCATCCACGTAACCATTATTATGGAATTGGATGACATAGGCATAGGTCATTTTTGCGAAACGCACCGTTCGGAAGGTCAACAAGTTGAAGGGCCAGGTGCGCGAAAGACGGGGCTACTCTGCGTGGGAACGTGTTGAAGACCTCTACTCAGGTCTAGGTAAAAATGGATCAAGAGTTGTTGAGCAACTTCACCACAGTGTGAGCCTGAAAACTTCTTATATCATCTTAATACATCTTATAAATATGGCAGGGTTTTATGGAACAGTAGATCTGACAAGTACATGCAGACTCTCCATGCATTCAGCAAAACGAGTCGTTCCGTTCTTCTGAGTCGAGCTGGCCAGTGGCCGCTGAAGATGGCCAGGTGCAAGAGGCAGCAAAGATGGCCAGTGAAGCTCAAGTCAATGAAGAGGAGGAGGAAGAGGAGGATGACGAGGAGACGGGTGGTGGATGGGATGATAAACACATGTATGTCATTTTGTGTAGTCTTTGGGCCAGTGAATTTGTGTTCATTTTATTTCAGTGTGACAGCTCATCAGCTCAAACATGTGCATAAATATAGGCGTCAATAGATGGGGCATTTGGTCATTCAAACCACAATTGATGCAAGAATTGGAGTTTTAGTGAGCTGCTTCAGTGAGTCCTTCTCAGCAAGAGCACTGAACAAAAATGTTGGGTCGGCTTTGTTGACCCAAGAGCCAGTTCAGGATCTTTATTTTGAGCGCTCAAGTGGGGATCCTGTCAACCTGTATACGTTCACCTGTCTACCAGACATGTCCAGGGCACCTGGGGCACGCGAACGGTGGTGCCCAAATGCGCCCAACGATGTACTGAACGTAAACACTCACGGTTTTCTCAGGATGATGAGCCACCTCCCGGCTGGGAGAGGGATCAGCCCAACAAAGCGTGACTTGGGCGGTCTGGAGGAGAGACCTCACCACGGTATCGGCATAGCGCGAGGGTCTGGAACGCATGATCTGAAGGATCTGGAAGGGTGGTTTGGGGGGGACGTTTGGTGGATATCTTTTTTGAATTCTGGGTGCCCAATGGGTTCTTGTTTAACTTGGGAGTCTGAGGGTAGAGCTGTGTTTGCCCAAACAAGCATTGTTGAACAAACTAGAATCAGAACAAACTAGAATGTTGTTTCGACTCTGAGACACTGATTGAGGCGAACAAGCGTGTCGGCCGAAGCTTATGGCGAGTGGTGCCTTGGCTCAAGAAAAGCCAAGAGCAAGTTGACATTCGGTGTGAGTGTGCCAAGGCGTCCCTTTTCCCATGCCTAGTGGCTGGTTTAAAATGTTCATGGAGCTTCCCACATGGAGCTGCAACATGCTGTCCATGGCCCCAGCATGGCCCAACTAGGCTCCGGACCCCCCTCTGTCTTTTCTCAACTGGTCCATCTGGGGTCGCTGAGGAGTCTAATTACTTGGTGCTCTGAACGCTCCAATGCAGAACAAGCTGTCATGTACCCCTGGCCCTTAACATGTAGGTGCTCATGAGTGGGCCTCAGGAATGCCAAGAAGGCTTTCGTCCCACCGGTGATTGTGAAGACGGAGGAGCAGAAGGATCGACTCAAGGCCGGGAGCGGAGAAGAGCCGTGTCGGAGTTGCTGTGGGAGCGCGCTTCGTTCTGGACAAACCGGAGAGCAAGTGCCCTTTGGTCTTGTATTGTACAAGATTCTTAAGCTTATGCTGTCTTCAAAATGGGGGGGGTTGGCCTAGATCCCATGCTTTCCTACACAATTGCAAGGGCAACTCTCTTGACTTCTTTGGATCAATTTCTCT